AATACGTCAAAATCGGCCGAGTTGTTTAGCCGCTGTAGCTTTTCAAAGTTGGGATATTTCCAATAAAATGGCCAAAAGGTTGATTTTTTGACCAGTTTTCGGCTTACAACTCCTAAACGACGCATAAATGCACCTGTAGTTAGTTTGGAAAACACAACATTCTGCGTATGATGTTTTTTTATTAATCAATAACGGCAATTGATTGTTACCTACTTTGTATGGTCAACATTTTATTGAAAAAGTATTAAAGTTAAAGTTGGGAAATTTTACTAAAATTGGTAACAACATAGATCCTGTCCTTAATATGAATTATTAGATAGTGGTTTATTCCATGATGGTCATCCAAAGGTTTATCTAATAAGGTGTGATGAGAGTAAGACACCCTATGTAATTTTAAGTCTAATATTTTTGTCTGAGGTTCCGAAAATTCTAGGATTTATATCCCAACCACCCATTATATAGATCTATCCCTGTATTCATCTTTCAGTTTTTGGCTTACATCTTCTAACGCATGCTTTAAAAAAATGTTCTTGTAGTTAGTTTGAAGAGTATAAACATCTGCGTAGAATATTTTCCAAATCATTAAGATCGGCTTCACCATTTAACCGCTATTGATTGTTAACACTAGATCAGATGCTTGTCAAGTTTCCGAAGTTTAAAATCTTACCATTGAAATCTGGCAAACAACCAGCCTAATTACCAAAAACATAGGGGATATGGCAGTGAATCTATCCACTAGTGTGACGTCATGGATCCTGCAGCATGGCCTATGAACAAGTAAGTGCTCATGAGAGCAACATCTAAAAATAGTGAATTGTTTTGCAAGTAAAATACCTGACATTCCTTGTACTCGGCTAAAACAAAAGTTGATTGTTTGGCTTGCTGACCACCCATTTTACAGTTTGGATGAATTTTTAGCAGAACATAATTGTTATGGTAAAATTGTTATCTAGTTGTTACTTCGTCCCTAGTCAACTGTTACCTAGTCTTTCAACCACTTTGTATAAGTACTTCACTTTTTTTCTGTATATAGTTCTGTTTTTTTTTTTTTTTTAATGATTTTTAACTATTTATTTTCTTGTTGTCTTTTTTATATTTAGTGAAGATTCCATGTTTTACTATCTAGAATCTATGGCCCTTTTTGACACCTTTTTTTATTAACGAGGTATATTGTAACATCTGTTATTTAATGACCAATAAAGATTTATGATTTATGATTAATCTTACTGTGGAGAGCTTTTCCGAGATAGTGGAATCAATGATGGGGATCTAGCCCGATGGTTCGCTTGCAGGCCCATCGCAGTGAATGCTACCCATCAAATTAAAGGATATTGTGGGATCCCCTCTTCAACATAATATCAGAAAGTTGACAATATAAAACTTCACGGATACGGTGGGATCAAAAAGAAATTCATCAAATGGCTTCAGTGTCACGACCCATTTACTGAAAATAGTTTGCTCATGTCAATCAGTTCAGCAGTTATCCCATATGATAGCATCAACGCGAGATATGTATTAAGCATAATGAAAAGGCACAGCTTGCAAGAAAATCGTAAATAGACAAGACTATAATGGCCATAAACTGTGCAAAATAAAAGGAAGTGGTGACCTTAATTGCGAGCTGTGATGGCAACAGCAAAGATTAAAGAAGAATCTGGCCCCCTCAGTCAGCACGTGATATTCCACATTAAATCCAAGCCTCATTTTTTAAATCATACATTGGATTAAAAATAGGTCTGTACCACTAGCACAGTTTGATGAAGAAAGCCTGATGTAGAAGAGCCGAAAATCTAACTATTCATGGAGCCTAAAACTACTCATGCTGTTTACTCCAATCCATGTAGATCTCACTGTGTTCTGGCGGGTTACAACGCTTGGCGAAGTTGCAGAAGCTGGTTGACCCTATACATGGTTGGGAGCAGAAAATATCCAAATCAAGTGAGGGTTGGCCTCTTCTAGAAGACACTTTCAACTAATTTTGACTTTGATTCTAACAAAAGGGGCTGATCATCCACCTATCCTTTAGAGCTCATTTAAAAGTGTACTTAATTCAGAGGGATAGGTATGGAAAGTTAACGCCAATGGGTTAACTCCCATCACTACGGTTAATCTACCGGTTCGACAAGAACTTCTCAACTCCGTCTACCTATCTCGACTATCGTGTAGATGTTAATAAAGGTTTACATTATCTTGCTCCTTTTGAAATGCAGGGATATAATGCACTACTGGCTGAAAGACTTGCAAGGGGCACGATTATCTCAATTCGATATCTGACGAAAAAGATGGTACCGAATGTCACGATTTGTGGCAAGACCGATAAGAGCAAAGAATGAATCCTTATTCTTAAGATTCCAATGATGAGAAGTAGAAAAGTTATATGGCAAAATCTACAAAAACTCCCAATCATTTTTTTTTTAATAGGCTAAATACATAGTAAAACTATGTACATCTGTCCCATTATCATCTTTCGTTTATTAAGCAAAAAATAACATATTTGCTATATTTAATAAAATCTTTCTCGTTGTAATATCTTATTATATATTAGAATCACTTAACACCATTTTGGAGTGTCCAGGGTAGGGATCGTATAAATGGGAGCTTAAGACGAATCCTAGAATTTTTGTAACCCCAGATAACAATATTAGATTTAAAATTACATAGGGGGTCTTGCTACCCTTCCCTTCACACATTCTTGGATAAACCTCTGGATGATAACCATGGAATAAACCACTATCTAGCAGTTCATAATCATAATTCTACGCCAAATTTTGTGTTTTCCAAACTAACTACAGGTGCATTTTTGTATAGCTTGCGTCGTTTAGGAGTTGTAAGCCGAAAACTGGTCAAATAATCAACCTTTTGGCCATGTTGATGAAAATGTCCAAACTTTGAAAAGCTACAGTGGCTAAACGGCTCGGCCGATTTTGACGTATTTAACATCAATCGACGCGGAATGTAATTCACTAAAAGACACCTTCAGACAACATTTTCCTTAGCATTCGTTATTTAGAAGTTATAAGCGAAAAACTGAAAAAAGTACGAAAATTTCATAGTTTTTCGACTCCTAAAACTTAAGCAGACGTCAGAATCCGTCGCAAACTCACAGGAGTCTTATTTGGGACCCCCAAAAGGTATTAAAACACTTTCCAGCTTTAGACGATTTTTTGGGGAGCATATGTCTAATTTGCCTGGACTATATCACTCTATATATCAATATAGCCTTTGATATAGATACCAGCTGTACTTTTTATGAATTTCAGTTTGTTTACTACAGCAATGTATAATTTTTAGTTATGCATGGTGATCTATAGTTATCTTATCGTATTTCTTCTTTTCTACCTAAATATAGTAATGAACAACGGAGGAAGGCCGCGTCGCCGAGGTGTTGGCTTTTGAAATCAGCATGTTTGAGAAATGCATAAAATTAGAAATTATTACGGGATCTGGAAAGGGAAATATAATATTTTTGCCTAGAATAAAGCTTATTTCAACAGATCCTAACATGCCTTTCCACATGTCAAGACTGCAATTTCCCTTACGACTTGCCTTTGCTATAACTACCAATAAGGCACAAGGCCAAACCTTCCAGAAAGCTGGAGTTTACTTAGATAAACCAGTTTTTACACACGGACAGTTATATGTTACATTTAGCAGAGTCAAGTCATCAGATGGAATCAGAGTATATATGGCAAATACAAGAGAACAGAACAATACAGAAAACTATTCATATACAAAAAAACATAGTTTATCCAGAGGTTCTGACTAATTATCAAATGCAATAAGTAAGTAGTGATTTCTATTCATGTAAATAAAACTTGAATTAAACCAAATTTTAATTGTTTTTTATGCTTATTATTTTCAAAATAAAAAAGTTTACTGTTTTAGAGGCTATTGTCCCTACAAACCACCATTTAAATGTAAATGTATCTACTGTATATAACATATTGTATACATTTTGTGTTGTAAACTATATTATAATGCTAGAAAATCAGTGCTTATTTATAAATGACCAATGAAGGTTGATAAAAAATTTATGTATTTTGGTTTTTTAGGGGCTTTTGCCCCTACAAGCCCCTAGTTTAGATATAGATTATTATTAAAAAGCCAGTCATAAAAATTTGTAATTGAATAAAGCAAAGTTTTTCTGACCTCAGACAAGCCCTTAAAAAGCAAAGTGGTGTCATCTGCATGCAGCGTTGGAGAGTTGGAACAAACATAAGCACCAACATCCTTTGTATATAGAATACAGAGGCCCAAGGATAGATCCTTGAGGGACATCATATTTCACTTCGGAGAAGGATTCTGCATCAACCTCAATTGCTTACGACCCATTAAATATGACCTGAACCATTTAAGTGGGATTCCACGTATGCCAAAACATTCAAGTTTGTCACAAAGTATATCATGGTTTAACCCGATCAAATGCTTTTGACAACCAACACGGTTTAACCGTTTGTGGTCATTTGACGTAAATTATCATTAGTTTATATGTTTATCATTAACTGTCTCTCTGCTCAGATTTGATTACCATTGGCTATTCGATGTGCAATTTTCTGAGCTAAGTGTCTAAGACTGCAGCCAGTAAGGCTGTGTTCCAACTGAATACAAAGAAGGCTTTTCGATATCAAAGGTTTAAGCATTTCTCAGGTGTCTTTGAAAATACAAGTGTGGAATGACAAAATGTTAATATTATGATTGTTGTATATTATTTGATTTAGTATGTTCTTTTTGCTGAACACATGTCTATTATTATTCTGTTATTAACTTTATGAATATTAAACCCCTTTATACTATTACCCTTTATAATCCTTAATATTAAACCCTTGTTATACTGTTTTTTTGTCTGCCTTTTAAGATTTTTAACAACATAGGTTCATTGGACGACTTTTTGTGTTCCAACCTTGTTAGTTATGGATTAGCCAATTAGCCAGATTATCATTTATATACATTTGAGCAGGCTGAGATAACTTTAGTAAGTAAATAATCTTGTTGAAACGAACCGAAGAAAAATTGAAGGCAGGAATATCTCGAGGAAAGACTCCTTGATTGGCACAAATGGCAGAAGACCTGAGTAATACAGCAAGATGAGATGGATGACTCTTCTCATAGAAAATAATAGTCCTATGTTGGGGTTCTGAAACAAGTGAAAACAGAAAACAAATCTTATTTTACATTGGTAATCTATTTAATAAGCTAAATGAAAAGTTTGTTCCCGATACAGCAAGGCTTTTTTGTTTCAGGACCTACACCCACATATTATACATCAAAACAACCGTTGCGGTATGCAGATTTGCAAACTGGCTTTAGATTTTCGATTTAGACATAAAAACTCTAAAGAAACGCGAAACCACTTTAAAATTCAGAATGCCCAGATGTTTCATTTGCATCTATAAAAAAAACTAATAAGGATCATGGACTTTTGAGAAAACCGCACAACTATCCATCGCATACTTGAATGAAAGGTCTTGATGTGAAACTTCCCTGTAAAATATTAGTTTTTCGATAAACCTTCTTCTCGTAAGGGCACGGTCCTATATTAAAGGGCTGAATTTAATCACATATTGGATATGCATCAGCTGTACGATATGTCTTTATTTATAACTAGCTGTACCCGTGGGCTTTGCCCCGTTTAACTTCATAAGTATTCGCATGGCTCAATCACGTCCTGGTTGAAGTTCGTTCGCTACGCTCACTCACCTTTACGTTCGCTACGCTAACTCTCCTTCAGTTTGAAGTTTGTTCGCTACGCTCACTCACCTTTTGGTTGTAAATAAGCTGTTGTCATAAATTTAAAAAAATAATAGTGCTGCACCCTGTTGGTAAATCTATTAACTTTTTAATGCTATTGAACATCACAGAATCAAATTGTTTAGTTAAACCAGCTGTTACGAATCTTTAATTCCATTTAAATATAAGTACTCATAAGGTTAACATGGAAAACTCCAGAGCCACTGGGGCGGAGCCCTTTTGACGGATCTGCACCAAACTTCACACCAGGGGTGCCCAGAGGGGGGGTACTGTGGCGCGTTTGCGCCACAGGATTTTTTGGGGGGGACTTTTTTGAGGGGATTTTGGGGGGGATGTTTTTTGCTGGCTGACATAATGAATGAATAATTTTGTATAAGCAGCCCGAAAAAGTGTTTCTAAGTAGCTCACTATCAACACCAACAACATTTTGCCATTCGTAATTAAGATTTGCTTTTAAGAATGGTAAAAGCGCACCTTGTCAGACAATCCTTAATATACCAGTGTCAGTGTCGAATTTTATTTGCTACATATGTTTTGGTGGTTCTTTACCTCCACCACACAAAACACGAATCGATTACAGATAGGCCTATCAATTCACGCGTATATATTGCCGTCGTCAGAACTGGAAGTAAACTGAATCAGGTTCAGGTTATGACGGACAGACGTGGTCTCTGGATTGTCGTCTGCATTGTCACTAGCTGATATAGGACTATTGTAGTGACTGAGAAGAGTGTTAAAAGTATAATGGGATTCATAATTAATTGAGTGTTTTCACTCAAAAAATTTGCGCTGTCCCTAGTTTTATGTATTTATATATTTCAAACTCCTCAAAGTATTTAATAAATTTCCTTTCGTGCAGTACTGTAGAATTTCGAGACCATAGTTTATATCCAGCAGATAAATTGGTTATTATTGTCAATAATTTTAAATGGAAAACTCAATTATGAATCCCATTATATTTTCAACACTCTCCTCCGTCACTACAACTAGTCCAATATCAGCTTTTGATAACACAGACGACAATCCAGAGACCACGTCTTTCCGTCATAACCTGATTCAGTTTACTTCCAGTCCTGCCCGCGGCAATATACTCACGTGAATTGATAGGCCTATCTGTTATCGTTTCGTGTTTTGTGTATAAACAGATTGTCTGACAAGATGCGTTTCTACCATTATTAAAAAACCAATCTTACCATTATTATATCTATACCATAAGCGTATAGCGTATATTTGTTATATCATCTATACGATTATGCGTTTCTACCATTATTATAAAAGGCAATCCTGGGGCTATCAAAATTAATTATAAGATTACTTCGTCACAAAAACCTTTTGTGGGTATTTTGCCTGGCGATTTTTGTAGAGTAAAATCGAGTTTTTGGAGTATGTTGTTTGGAGTGGCGGTGTTTGTAGAGCCAGGGAGTGGCGAGCAACAAGTCTGTCTTATTTCGTGACTGCCTATAATTTTGAAAAAAAAACTTTTTGCCAAAGTATTATTAATGCATTTTTAAAGCGGTTTGATTTCTTTTAAAATTCTTCTCTGAGATTCTTTCTCTATATTGTTGTACGTTTTGAAGACGTTGTCTATTGCAATACTGAGCACATGTTAGCTGACAATAGAGATTCTGAAATGTAAATTGAAACACTTCTAATTCGTCCATTAGTTAGATATACCTAATGAAGTATTGTTAAATGTTGTTCGTTTCCTATTAAACATTTAATTTTTATTATCAGCAAGTTTGTTTTTCTTTACCTCATGTTTACTAAATACTAAATTGGAATGCTCGTTTTATGAGGTAAAGGGAAAATTGTCAGATAAATTGGTGGGGGGAGGGTAGGTTTAAATAGACGGCAGCATAAATTGGGGGGGAGAACTACTCCTTTGGCTTGGGGGGGGGGGGGGGTTGCGCCTCTGGGTTTGGGGGGGATGGGCACCTCTGCTTCACCTAAACCAGCCTTGAATAATGCTTAATAATGCCTGAAAGTTTCATTACAATCTGTCGAGCGGTTTCGGAGTCCATAACATTCAAATATATATATATACAAACTTCCTCTTTTATAAATGTAGATTTGTTTGTTTAGTATTCCCCTGAGTTAGTCTGTTGATTCTCATTATACTGTAGATGTTTAAATTGTTGAGATTAATAATATCTCTGGTCATGTTTCCAACAGTCTGTCTTAAATATTAATTATTGTTCACATATGATTTGTAAATTATATGTTTTAGTTAGTTTTGAAGGAATAAACAGCATCATTCAGGTTTTTGTTAAATAACTTTTTTTGTTTTCTAATTAGTAATCTTAGATTCTCGGAATATTCAACATGGTAACAGAATCCTGTGATTCGAATTTACTAATTAATTTCATGTTTGTCTTGTATCAATGTTAAATTTTGGCAAAAGTCAAAATTTAATATTTTGTGTTGTTTGTAAACCTCTTCAAGATTATTTGTTAGGAAATATAAATAATGGAGTTGACCAAACTGCAAGTAAGACTTTTTTTATGGTTTACAATACCTGCATATAGTAATCATTTGTTGCTGATTTTCGCAACTAGTTGCGGTTCTTAATGAACCATCTTCAGGCCTCAAGGTGTCAAGTAATCACTTGATTCGAAGATCGTTAACAAACAGAGTTCAATAAATAAAACATATACAAAACACGATACACGGAACGGACACACATTACAAAAAACTTGAAAAACACAAAGGGACATTGACAATAGATCGTGACCGGGCTGAGGTAAAGTCTAGACCCGCAGTCAAGGTGGTCTATGACGTCTATCTTTGTTTTCTTATCACCGGTGTGTGTTCATTCATTCATTGTTTCCCTCCAGTATCCTAATAGCTGTGTTGTAGATATAGTTGGATTGGACGGAGAGTTTATCGTTCAAAACCTTTTGATGGTCGGCTTTAACTGCTCTGTATATTTCAAACTTTTCCAATGTGTTTCTGTTTAAACGGTCCTGCGAGAAATGTAAAACTTCCATATTACTATTGATGTCTGAATAATTGTGGTTGTGTAATACCAGATGATCTACATAATTTGATGTTTGGAGAGCTGTTGTCTTTCTGGGCATATATTCCTTAAATCTCTTCTTAAACAAGTGTGAAGTCTGGCCAAAGTAGTATTTTGTGCAGTCATTACAAATTTATTTTGTAGACTCCAGACTTATTGTAGATGGTTGAATTACACCTTGAGGCCTTCTTGACACCTTTGAGGCCTGACGATGGTTCATTAAGAACCGAAACTAGTTGCCAAAATCAGCAACAAAGGATTACTTTATGCAGGTATTGTAAACCATTTTAATACACTAATCCGGAGGTTAAACAACTATTTTTAAAATAAGACTTTTTCATGGCAAAAATTTGTCAACTTGGAAATATAATACTGTATATGCATACTTTTAAGATGCATACCAAAAGCGTTGGACGTTGTGGAGGGGAATCTGCAAATGCCCAAGGAGCTAAATCCAGGAGCAACAGAAGAGGAGAAGGCTAAGGTATGATTTAGATGTAGCTAATTTTACCAAGGCTGACAGCATGGCACTGATAGTTATTACAACAAACATGACAGAGGAGACTTTACAAAAGGTTATGCGTTTTTCAAAGGCTAGGGAAGTATGGCTAGAACTTTGTAAGCTGTACGATAGTGTCTCAGAGAACAAAGCTTATGATATTTCTTTGGAGTTCTTTAGCTACAAAAGAGATTCCACTGATGACATTTTCAGCCATTTGTCAAAGCTCAAAAACCTATGGAACTTAAGCTACAGATTAATAAAGACACTCAAAGTGTTGAAGAATAAAGATTGTTTGCCTTGAATGAGTAGGCTTTATTTAACACAATTCAAGTAATGGAATTTATAAGTAAGAGTTAAATCTAGAGAATGAAATAATGATTACAAACATTCAACATAAACAAATAAAATAACAATGTCCAACAACAGCTGGGAATATTTTCTATCACATTCTTCCCCGCTAATATAATTTAAAGTCTTTTTAAGGTGAGAAGGTAGTTTCTTCTGTCTTGAGCTTCGTCTCTGTGATTGTGTTTCATCAGTCCTTAAGGTTTGTAGAGGCTCTTGAGTTGCAGATTCTTCTATCACCTCTGCATCGGGATGAGACACATCCTGGGTCTCGTCTACTAAGTTTACATCGCTATTACGTTCCATTGTGTGGTTCTCCGGTGTTGATTCATCATCAAAAACTGTTCTCTCAGCTTGTTTTCCACAAGGAGCTAAGTTGCGTGTAGACACTGTTGTCTCACGCCCATCTGGCAATCGTACATGAGCGTAATCAGAGTTTCCTTCCAGCAATGTCACCTCCTGCACTATTGGTTCATACTTAGAGTTTCTGATAGGACGTCTCATCAACACTTTTCCAGGAGTC